CAAAACTTGCCATGGTATACAGGAAAAATGTAATAATTGGCAAAAAATGATATTTTTCTATTATGTGATCATGATTTTTGCAAGCGACCGGAGGTACTGCCCCAGTCCTGTAATGAGTTAAATCCTGTCCAATGAGAGTCAAATAATGTGCATAAATATAGTACCAACATTATTTAGTCACATGTGAACTTAGTATCATAGAACGCTACAACAAACAATATATTGCAATATGTTTTTTTTTTCAAATCAGCTTTAAAATGCTTCAAATGTGCAAATATATTGTAATAAATATGAATACATACTATTTTCTCATGTACGTAATGTTCCCGAATTATGGCGTAATCACCATGTTGACAAGGTAAGCAGGTAAACATTGCGAAATTTTGTTCATTGTTGAATACGTCTGTATGATTTTCATTGTTTATATTTCACTATACTTTCAAAAATAATTGCAATCTGGTGTAACAATTACTTTATCCCTTTGTATTTCCCTTTAGCGATTGATAATGCATAAAATCATGTGAAAGAAATCTGATTCAACTTGTCACTTGTCTTTAACTATATTAATATAAAAGTAAAAAAGTAATGTTTAAACTTAAAGAAAAAAGGCCCCACTGGCCTGGGGTTTGATAACATTACTTTCAGTTCATTGCTGTTGGTAGATATTCTAGCCTATAAAGATACTCAAGTATGCTATATATAATACGGTTGTTTTTTTTATCTTGAAGCAGCATGCCTCCAGGTTATTGCTTTTTTTCATGAAAATTTTGAAAATGTATATCAAAGAAAATATTGTGAAGTAAACAAGGAAAGTAATGACTATTGTACATAATGCTTATGACACAATCCCTATAATTTACAAAAAAAAGACTCCAAAATATGCAAAAATAGCCTGGGGATAGTCACACTGTAGTACTATGGGGATCATTTGAATATTGCAAAATTCAGTCATTAATGGCACATACTGTAAGGTATTTCTTGGACTTTTAACTTTTCTTAATATCTGTTTTATCAAGTTTGATTTTCTTATAGCATATCTAGAGGCATAGAACAATTAATTCTAAATGTAATTGTTTCATAGAGAAATACTTGTTTGATCACAATTTAAGTTTTTGTTACTGTTAAAAAAAAGAAGCTTTGAGTTGAAAAAAATGTAATATTTTGTTAAATCTTTGTTAGGCTTGTCCATTCGATAGAAGATTTATTTAAAAATGTTAGGTCTAAAACTGCATAGAAATAATGATGTTAAGCAAAAACAACCCAAATTGAAAGGGCATAACTTTGACTCTTTTGCAAATTTCACAAGAAGTTTCATTTATATCTTAGAAAAATTATATTTGCCCATGAATGTACCGAATATGATATGAGAATTTTCTATGAAAGCCTATTGATACTTTTGATTCCTATAAAGGTTTATGGTAATAGTATGATAACTAATATAGTGTAAATCCATCATTTTAAACTGCTTTGGAAATATATATTTGGTTCCTTTGCATAGACTTGATATAGCAAAAATCTGTAATTTATGTAGCTCTGATGAATGAAAAATTTGGCAAATTGAGTTGGCCGCTTATTGATTATTGTTAATACATTTATTAGAATGATAATCACTGGTTGCATAGTTTTATTATAAACCTTCTGCCTATTTCATTTAAAATATTTTTGTTGAAAATGGTAAAACATATTCAGTAGATTTTTAGGCAGCTGATATTAATAAGGGTACGTGTTTAGCTAAAAAGAATATTTCGAGCTATTGCTACAGTCAAGTTGCTGTGCCTGCACAAGTTGCTTACCAGAAACTAAACTTAGCCATTTTTTTTAAATGGATTGTCTTCATTCTTGGACTAAACAATTCTTTGGACAAGATAATCAAGAAATAGACCTTGATTCATGAATTATATTGACATACGAGATCAAATGTCTGAATTTTGATTTTAAATTTTTATTTCCTTCAAACTTGTAGACTTAGATATAAAAGAGAATCAAACTCAATATAACTTTAATGTACTTGATGATAAAATTATTGAATTTCACAGATTTTTGCTTGAATTTATTTTTTTTTATTTGATTTTTACATTGCAATAGCATAGTTAAGGTCATAATATGGTTACTGTTCAGCATAACTTGTGGAGTAAACAACCTTGACCACTCTGTCACAGACACTACACTCCTTCTTACAAGACATCCAACAAGATTAAATGGAACTTGACGTTGGATTTAATTTTTGATATACTATTGTTTTTGCCTTCGCCATCTGACCATCCGTCAGGTCGTCTGCATTAAGCTTGTCCGGCCTTCACAGGTCAAACTACTGGTGGAATTTCAACCAAACTTTACAGGAATGATCCATTCTATTTGTAGTTATGCACATTACCGACAAGATCCGATTCGATGCTCAAAATGGCAACCAGAGCTAAAAATAAAAAATGTTGTCCGGCCTTCACATGTCAAACTACTGGTGGGATTTTAACCAAACTTTACAGGATTTATGAATTTGATCCCTTGTTATACACATTGTCGGCAAATTCCACTTCGCTGCACAAAACGACCACCAAAGCTTAAAATAGAACTAGAACTCCGCGAGTCAGATGTGTCGCCTTCTGAACAATATAGTTTAGTAGAAAAGGCCAGGACAAAAATGAAATTTGAAAATCAACAAAGGGCAATTACTCAAAAAATAAGAAATGCAAACCAGCATTTTCTGTGCACTGCACTTCTTATCAATTAGATCTATCATCCTATTCAGTTTTAAATCTAAAGCTTTTATAATTTATGAGAAATGACCTGGACGAAATTGAAGTATGAAAATTAACAAAGTGCAATAACTCAAAAAATAAGAAATGCAAAGTACCAGCTCTTAAGCACTGCGCTTTTTCTTAATGAGATCTATCATCCTATGAAGTTTCATGTCCATAGCTTTTATACTTTAGGAGAAATGCCCTGGACAATAATAAAGTATGAAAATTATCATAGGACAATAACTAAAAAAATAAGAAATCTAGAGTACCAGTTCTTAAGCACTGCACTTCTTCTTTATGAGATCTATCATCCTATAAGTCCATAGCTTTTATATTTAAGGAGAAATGGCCCGGATGGCCCGGACAAAAATAAAAGTATGAAACTTAACAAAGAGTAAGAACTCAAAAAATAAGAAATATAGAGTACAAGTTCTTGTGCACTGCATTTTGGAACATTATAAGAAGTATGAATACCAAGTTGACTGACTTATGCTCATGACAAGCTTAAGGGGACGCCGACACCGACGCCGCCGACACTGCCGACAAAAGTAATCCCTTTATGTTGCCTTTTTCAAGGCGACACAAACAATCATGCCGACTTTCTGAGGTCAAACTACTGTTGAAATTTTAACCAAATTTACAGTATTGATCAGTACCATCCCTAGTTATGTACGTTGTGTACATCGCCGGCAAGTAAAGCTCTGCTGCAAAAAATGGCTGCAAGATCTAGAAGTAGAAAAATCTTGTTGGCTTTCACAGATCAAACAACTGGTGGGATTTCAACCAAACTTTACAGGAGTGATCAGTACCATCCTATGTTAAGCACGTTGCTTGCAAGTTCCGCTTCCTTGCACAAAATGGCCGCCACAGCTTAAAATATAAATCTTGTCACATGTCAAACTACTGGTGAGATTTCAATCAAACTTAATAGGAGTGAACAGAACTATCCTTTGTTGTGCATATCGCCAGTACGTTAAACTTTGCTGCACAAAATGGCTGTCATAGCTATAAATAGAAAAAAATTGTCAAGCTTTCACAACTGTTGGTTAGATTTCAATGAAACTTCACATTTGTGAACAGTGCCATCCCTAGTTGTGCACATTGCCGGCATGTTTTGTTTCACTTCACAAAATGGCTCCCAGAATTCAAAATAGAAAAATCTATCGCATGCCAAACCGCCAAAATTCAAAAGAGTGATTAGAACCCTACACAGTTTTAAGAGACATGTTTTTGTGACAAATATGTTAACAAGATCATCAATGAAAGGCGGCTTTCAATGAACGCAGCACAACCCTTCAAATTCATATATGGCCTTGACCTTTATATGATAAAAAAAATCTTTGGAGTCAGCTGGAATTTACATTATTTTGTTATTTTTAGAGGTTTGTTTCATGCTTTGGCAAAAAAACAGAGAACAACATGTTGATTTTAATCTTGTTGGATGTCTTGTTAGAAGGAGTGTCTGTGGCAGAGTGGTCATGTTGTTTACTCCACCAATCATGCTAGACAGTAACCATATTATGAGCTTCACTATGCTAATGCAATGTAAAAATCAAAGCAAACCTATTGTAAATTCTAGCAAAAGTCTGTGAAATTCAATAATTTTATCATCAAGTACATTAAAGTCATATTGAGTTTGATTTTCTTTTATGTCTTAGTCTACAAGTTTGAAGAAAATTAAAATTCAAAATCAAAATTCAGACATTTGATCTCGAAGGACAATATAATTCATGAATCAAGGTCAATTTCAGTCTGGTCTTTTTGATTATCTTGTCCAAAGAATTGTTGTGTCCAAGAAAGAAGACAATCCATTAAAATAATGGCTCAGTTTAAAGTTTATGGTAAGCAACTTGTGCAGGAACAGCAACTCGACTGTAGAAATAGCTCAAAATATTTTTTTTAGCCCTTATTCATATCAGCTGCCTAAAAATCTACTGAATATGTTTCACCATTTTCAACAAAAAATGTGTAAATGAAACAGGCAGAAGTGTTATAATAAAACTATGCAACAAGTGATTATCAAACTAATGTATATACTAACAACAATCAATAAGCATGCAGCACAATTTGCCAAATTTTTCATCAGACCTACATAAATTACAGATTTTTTCTATGTCATGTGTATGCAAAGGAACCAAACATATATTTCCAAAGCAGCTTAAATTGATGGATTCACAATGAGAGTTATCATCTTTTCACTACACATGACGTTATCTATGAACCGTTAAAGGTGATTGAAACTTTGTCTTGTTTAAATTTTAGAACAAATACAAGAGTGATTTTTCAACAATATGTAGCACATTGTTTTGCGCTATGCCAAAATACCAAGGTTATTCCACGGGCCATCTTCCATGGTATGGTACCACATGTGGACATGGCAAGGTACGATTTAACTTAATGATGAAAAATGATATAATGCTAAACAAGCTTCTCTTTCCTTAATTTGCTTAATCTAAAATTGTAATTATGCCATAATAAGTAATCATCATTTATCAATTAAAATAATTGCATCACTCAGAAATATATGAATCGGTATATTTATCCTTAGATGTGTCGATCAGGGCATTGCGTCGAATCTTCCCTAGCACCTCCAGTCGACGATGGTAAGTAAAGCTTCAATGTAAAATATTTACGATTTTCAAATACAATCATCGTCAGTATAAATTGTTAGGTAATATTGTATCCTTGCACAAATTGAGTTCTCATAAATAGTAAAATACCATAGAGAATTAACTATCATAATTATTTTAACATACCCTTATAAATATCTACTGTGAAAACAAACATGTGCGTCACTGCGTTTCAAACAGGACAAAAACCACAATCCGTTTTGTAATCATTTACCTACTCTATACCTGTAAGCAACTACACATTCCAGTTTTACAATACGTTATTTAAGGAATGATATATTCCAATTTCCCAAACAGTAATTTTATCGCTGAATAAAATCACTGTTTGGAGTTCGGGGGCGAGGAATTATATCACGAGGGAGTAGCTCGGGCAATATAATGATGCGTATCCGAACATCACCGATTTGTATATACTATTTCGATTCTAACTCGATATTATCACATAAAAATGCTGCCGTACCGGATAATTGGAAAATTAAACGAGACTTACCTTGGTTAAGTCGATGTTTGATTGAAATTCTATGAGTCAAATGAACACTTGAGGGATTAAATGAGATAGTACTGCGCATGCGCCAATTCAGTCTTTAAAGCATTTTGGCATTATTGCCTAAAAATTTTAAGAAATCTGCGATTTCTATACTGAAGTCATAAATGAACACAAATTTCATACATAATGGGATGGGTGTGGAGGGCATTTAATCCCTCAAGTGTTCATTTGACTCATAGAATTTCAATCAAACATCGACTTAACCAAGGTAAGTCTCGTTTAATTTTCCAATTCTATTTCGTCAAAACACTTTCGGTCTAAATGAGAAGTTTAAAGCGCAATAATGACAAAATATAACAGACCTTATTTCAAAACTCCTTCTTCAAAGGAAACAGTTTCTGTCACCTCCCTGTCATAGAATCTCGAAAATGTTTTACAGTTTGACCATCCTGCTTTTTCCAAAATAGCAGACACAGGAACGGCATTAAGTTTTGCCTTTGATGAAGATGCGCCTCGCACACTATGTGCAGAAAACATGTCTGTGTTAACACCCGATCTAAACATTACTGTTTTTATCCACCTTGATACAGTGTCACGTGATACTGGTCCGTATGGTTTCACATAACTTAGAAGCAGTTTATTAGTTTTACAACGAACAGGTTTGGTTCTTGACAAGTATTCTTTCAACACGGTATAGACACAAAGCCTCCTATCTGGAGGATATGCTTTAAGAACAAAAGTTGAAAAATCAGCTCCCGGCCGACTCTGTTTTAATAACGCATCAAATTTAAAAACAAACTGTGAACTGAACTTTTTCATGTTATTAACTGATAACAAATGTATAGTCTGAGCTCTAGCTGCATTCGTAATTGCTATAAGCATGACAAGTTTCATAGTAAGATCTTTCAAAGACAAATGTTTCACTGGACTTAACTTGCGTAGAAATAGTAATACAGTGTTAATATCCCAAGTACTAATGTACTTCGACCGTGTTGGTCGTATATTAAAAACTCCCTTCATAAATCTTATAACATCTGGATGTGATCCAACACGATGGTTATCTATGACAAGTCCTAAAGCTGATAAAGCGCCTCGTGCTGTATTTAATGCACTATATCCCAAACCCGTTTGAAACAAAACTGTGAAAAACTCGATAACATCCACTATAGTAACTGAAATTGAACTAATGTGTCGTTCACAACAATACTGTAGCCATCTTGATATATACGTTTGATATTGTCTTTTAGTACCAGTTTTCCATGAAGACATGATAATTTTGGTTGCTTCTGAAGAAAAGCCACGGTTTCTGAAGACTTTCCTGACACAAGACAAGCTATTAAAACCATTTTCCCCAATAATGGATGTACCTTTTCCCCTTTTGGGAGTGATAGAAGATTGTTCTGTGATGGAAGAATCAACGGTTCCTGTATTAACAATTTCATCAGCGTTGTAAACCATGTCTGTGTTGGCCACAGTGGAGCAATTACTATGCAACTTGCCATATCTATGGTAATCTTTTGAATACAGCGTCCCAGTAAACTGAAAGGTGGGAAAATATAACAACATGAAAAACTACTCCAATCTAATGTAAATGCATCTACATACTTGGCTCCTGGATCAGGCTTCCAGGAGCAAAAATCTGATATTTTAGCATTCAATCGTGAAGCAAAAAGATCAATATCTGGAAATTTGGTTCTTGTGCAAATTTTTGTAAATATTGTATCATCTAGCTCCCACTCTAAATGATCCTTGAACTTTCGCGATGGAGCATCAGCTTGGTTATTTGTACCAGCTATATGGGCACATGACAACCAAATATCATGATCAATACATAAATTCCAGATTTGCCTACTCACAAAATCACAATCTTCTGACTTACTTCCCCCCATATTGTTTATGTAACATACTGCTGTTGAGCTATCTGACAAGATTTTTATATGTTTGCCAGAAATTTTCTCTATGCTCGCTTTTAAACTATGCAACACAGCCATTAATTCTAACTTATTAATATGCCATTTTGATTCTTCTAATGTCCAACGACCCCCACTTTTAACGGTTTCTAAAACAAAACCCCATCCTTGCAGACTTGCGTCTGTTTGTATTATTAATTCTGGATTTCCATGACTAATATGCCTGACTTGATGTCTTATATTTGAAAACCACCAATGTAGTTCAATTTTCATACTCTCAGAAATAGTCATTTCTGAATCAAAATCACCCTTGTTAACCTTCAATGCGATAGTTTTGGCTTTTTCTAAATTTCGATAGTGCATTCTACCGTATTCTACAGCAGAAAATGTTGACACAATAATACCTATAACTTTAGCAACATTACGAATTTTAACCTTTTCAGCTTGATAAAGCTTTTTACATTCTATCTCTACTGTAAGCATTTTTTCTTGTGTTAAATAAACAAGCATTTTTTCAGAATCTATCACATTTCCCAAGAAAACAATTTTCTTAGATGGCTGGAACACTGATTTTTCCATATTTAACATGAAACCTAAACTGAAAAACATGTTCCTTGTGACATCAAGATTTTCTATACATTCTTCTTTAGTTTCCCCGCAAAGGAGACTATCGTCTATAAATCCAGAATTAATATAACCTAACCCTCTCAACTTTGAGTAAACGGGCTTTAACAGCTTTGTAAATAACCTTGGACAAGGTGCCAAACCATTTGGAAACACCTGATACTCGTATATTTCTGAATTAAATGAAAACCTAAAATATTTCAGCTGTTCTTGAGCAAGAGGTACACTGTAATATGCATGGAGTAAATCCAATGATGCCATAAACATATCTTTTCTTATCAGTTGTAATGTTTTTTCAAAAGTGTCCATTTTAAAATGATAATATGGTATGAACGTATTCAATTTTTTCAAATTTAGAATCATTCTATAGTCACCATTTTTCTTTTTTCTAAGAAATATTGGGGATAAAAATTGCCCCGTCTCGTGGTTCACTTTTTTGATAACACCTAGTTCTAACAAATTATCTATTTCTTTTAATATTATATGTGATTCTTCAAAGTTAAAAGAATATTGTGGACAGTGTTCTTGTTTATATTCATAAAATTCTGGTTTAAATTGGATATGACAATGTTGAACCATATCCAAAACAGTGTTATCACTTGTCAATTTACTCCATTCATTTACAAAGTACCTCAATCTGCCTGCTTTAAAAATATTAAATTTTACCTTATCTACATGCGTGCCTTCCCCACTCCCCGACGGGAGTAGTTTTTTGGATCATATGAACCAGCAGGTTGTGGAGCCCGGAACATTCCACGGCCAACTCCTCTAGGGTAAGTGCTACGACCCCTAAAAGTCCCTCTGTAGGGCAATCTGTAACTTGGTCGTCCTCTCAATCCCCCACGGTGGATTTTACTACTGATTTTTGCACAGTCCTCTATCTCCTTTGCTGTTTTGGATACGTCGTCTCCAAACAACTCTTGTGTAAAGGGCAATGAATGTGTACACAAATGTGCATATTCTGTTTTTATTTCCGGCTTCATCAAATCTCTACGTAACAAATTTATTTGTCTATTAGAGTGACCCAAAAGAGCCAAAACATCATTACAATTTTCAATTAACTCACCATATTTCTCATGTTCACGTTCCAAAATTGCCATTTTGTTCACCGATTTCACCAAAATTGTGGCAGCTTTGATTACAGAAGTCTCGACATTCTGTAATTTTTTATCATTTGTCCTAGCACCTTGTGATATGGCATCCCATATCAAATGATTTGTTTTTACAACAACTAGACTGTCACAGTTTTCAGGTCTAGCATTTTGTTCATCTTTAACAAGTTCTGATTATAACGTTCATCTTCAATTCCATTCCTGAATAATTCATTAACATTCTCGGACAATGTTTCATCAACACTCTCATCGCAGTGTTCTTGCATTTTAAACCTCTTCGCAATGGAAGAGAAACGACTGTCAGTGTTTTTGCGTTTTGTCACATTCGCGTTTTCGTACCGGAAGTTCATCTTCCGAAGGCTCAGGCACATAAGAACAGTCGTCCTCATACTCAAAACTTTGTTCAAAATAGTCCATTCTGTTGCTAACACTAGTCAACTTTTTATCTTGTTCTTTTCATGGACTCTTGAATTTGTTGCAACAACGTCAACATTTTATCATTAGTATTCGCGACCACGTCAGAATTTTCCTTTTCCCCGGATTTACCGGGTTGCGCCGGTGATTTTCCTTTTGAC